GTGCCTTCTGTCCCCATGTCACAGTGGCAGACCTGAAGCTCCAGCACGAGCAACTGATCCAGCAATCCCACGAGATCCCACAGTGTGAGAATGGGGGACATGATGGAATGGGGGGAGCGTGGGGAAACCCAGAAGAGGGGAGGGGGGTTGAAGGGGTGAGGAAGGCAGGGATGTGCCCAGGGATGGGGGGGGACACGAGATGGAGGAGGTATAGGGACAGGATGTAGGTGGGAATGTGGATGGAGGGGACATGGGGACAGGAGTGGACATATATAGGGATTGCAGGGCAAGGGGGCAGCCAGGGGTGGGGACAACGCGGGGAGGGGGGGAACAGATGGATGCGGGGACAGGGCTGTAGGGCGCACAGAAGTCTGGGTGAGCAAGGGGACACCCGGGACCATGGAACGGGGACCCTCCTGGAATGATGTGGGACCTGCAGGGGTGGGGGAAAAGACTCAGCCTGCTATCTCCCCACAGTGCAGCAGGAGGAGCAGGACTTCCATCTGTCCCCCAACATCATCGCATCGGCGGGGGCTGATGACATCCCGTACCCGCGGGCGCCATCGCACGCCTCCACCTGGGGCAGCGTCCTGGATGGCTTCCCCCCCGCCTGGCCCCTGCCTGACGACCTCAGCCGTTACTGCAGCGGCCCCTCGCTGATCCCCCGTGCGCCCCGGCCCTCGCTGCCCCCTGCTGCCTTTGCCCACCTCCGCAGGCAGGTGGCTGCACTCGACAGCTTCTGGCCTCGCCTGGACGGCTGCTGCCAGCACCATGCCCCGCTGCCCTGCGCCCGGCGGGCGGTGAGTCTGGGGTCGTGTCACCAAGGGGGGGGCACACAGAGCTGGGGTGTCTCCTGGGGGGGTGATGTGCGTAGGGGTGATGCAGGTATCTCTGAAGGTGACGCAGGTGTCCTGTAGAGATCCCAGATGTGTTGGGGGGTGGAGGGGTGAAGCAGGCATCTGGGAGGGGGTCAGGGGTGTGCCAGGGGTTGATACAGATGTCCAGGGGGTGATGCGTGTGCCTGGGGAGGGTCCCATATGTCCCTGAGGGGTGACCCGGATATTTGTGGGGGTGTCCCAGGGGGTGACAATGATATTGAAGGGAACAGATGGTCCAGGAGTGTGTCCCAGGGGGGTGGATAACAGAAGTGTCGTGAGAGATGACACAAGTGTCCAGGAGGGTTGACAGGTGTCCCAGGGGGGTGACACAGATAGGGAGACATTTTGATGGTGACCTGGGTGTCCCTTTGTCCCTGCAGTGGACCGATGTCCTGGACACGTTCTGCGAGGATGAATTCGGGGTGAAAACACGTCAGTTCCACTGCTGCCATCAGCACGGGGCTGCGCGACGCCGCTGCTTCGCCAAAGCCACCGTGGGCACCCCTGAGATCGCCGAGATCACCGAGATCACCCTCCTGGAGCCCGTGGTTGTGCCATCCTTCCCACCCGGCGAGCCCAACGCCGACAACATGGAGAACATCTGTCGCCTGCGGGGGCTGCGGCCCAGCCCCAAAGGCCTCCCTGGGCCCCGGGCCCGATTCCACAGCCGCCTGGAGCGTGACTTCGGCCGCTGCTGCCACAACAGCAGTCTGGAGTGCGCCCACGCTGCCGTGAGTTGGAGCTGGAGGTGGGAGGGAGCTGTGAGGAGGACATAGAGGTGGTGACAGGAGTGGTCTAGGGGTGGCCATGTTGTCATGGAGGTGAGACAGGTGTTGGGAGGGTGATACAGAGATCATAAAGGTCCAGGGGGTGGCAAAGATGTACAGGGGGCGACATAGAGATCTGGAGGGGGTGACATAAAGATCCAGTGGGTGACAGAGATTCAGAGGGGGTGGCATAGCGGTCCTGGAGGTGACACAGGTAGCCAGAGGGTGACATAGGGGTCCGAGGGATGAACACAGATGTCTCAGGTGTTGATGCAGACATCCCAGAGTGTGATTTAGGTGCCTGCGGGGCACACAGGTGTCTTAAGGGGGGTGACACAAGTGTCACTCGGGATGACCCAGGTGTCTTGGAGCATCCTCCAGGTGTTTGGGAGGATGATGACGGTGTTTCCTGGGGAGTGACCTAAGTGTCCCATGAAGGTGTTTGGGGAGGACACGGGTGGCTTTAGGTGTGACCCCAGTGTCCAGGAGGTGCTGCCGGTGTCCCAGAGGGATGACACAAGTGTCCCCTGGGATATCCCGGGGGTTGAAGTGTCTGTAGGGTAATGCAGGGGTGTGGGGAAGGGCCCTGCGTGTCACTGGGTGTGACACAGGTGTCCCTTGGAGGGGGGGGGGTGACAGAGCTGTCAGGAGGACAGAGGTGACCCAGGGAGTGACGCAGTGTCTCAGGAAGGCCCCACCTATCTCAAGAGGTGACAGAGGTGTCAGGGGGTGACGGCAGCGGCCAGGGACAGGGTGGGGACGGCCGCTGACAGCGGTGTTTGGGGCCCCGCGTGTCTCTGCAGTGGCAGAGGGGATTGGAGCGCTTCTGCCGGGAGGAGGGGGCTGTGAAGACCCGGCAGCACCGCTGCTGCAAGAGAGGGTTGGGCCAAGCCCGGAGCCGCTGCTTCGCCACCGCCGCCCCCCACCCTGCCTACGACCAAGAAGTTCACAACATCAGCCTGGCCCGGCCCGGCCCCGCCATGCTGCGCACCCTCTGCGGACCCATCCGGCTGCTCAGCAAGCGGTGGGTGCTGGGGGGGGAGGGGGCGCCCTGAGCGCGGGATGGCAGCCCCTGGGACCCCTCCCACAATGTGTCCTTGGGAATAACAACCTCTCAGAGCCCCTGGGTCCCCCCCGACCTTTCCTGGGCCCCTCTCCCATCTTTCAGCTTCCCCCAAAGCCCCCAGCCCACCCCTTCATTCTCCTCTTAGGACTCCCCACCCTGGCGCCAGCCCACACTCAGGCCTGGGTGGGAGGCACACAGCACACATTCTCGGATCCCCTCAGATCCTGGGATAGGCAGAACCCCCCCTCCCCCGCCCCCCCCCCC